ATACTTACCTCATCTAACACTATCTCACCCTTCCTCCCCAGGATAGCTGGTGTTTAGGTCTGATAATCTTGCCAGCCTCGAAAAAGTGATTAAGAAAGAATAAAGGGGAGCTTATGTATGGATTGGGTATAGGGGGTGCACTGACGTAGGTGGAGAGAGTCACAAGATTAAAATCGCTATGGCCGATATAGTGGGGTATAAAGACTGGAGCAAGCAAGGTATAATTTATACCAATGGTTAGAAGGGCAAAGAAAAGAAACTTTTGTCAGGATGAAGCTGAAGTTTGGGAGGAGGAAAGTGTGTTTCAGAGTAAGTAATTTTCACTCCAACTTTGAGAAAAGGTAAGTATTATGAGAAGTACATTTTTAGAACAGGAAAATGTAAACTGTCAGTGTTGAATATACAGTGTTTTGGTACATGAATTTGAAATGAGACATAACAAATAGCATTTCTACAGAACAATATAAAAATTGAAAGTCTAATGAAATGTAGGCAAATGTTCTTAGAAAAATAAAAAGAAAGATTGAGTCAAAGTCTACAAAAAATTATATGCATTAAATGAAGTAGAGAATCTAATTTCCTTCTTTGTAAACATGGATATATCAATGTAATTAACGCTTTTCTGGTGAATGGAATTGCTTGTAATTCTTTGTTGAAAAAACACTGAATAAGTATTTATTCTTGGTAAGGTTGTGGCAGTTGGATATCGACTGTTGTTTATAGTTAGTAGCTAATATGATCACGTAAGTCTTTAGTTATTAATTAGTTGCCAATATTGTGCATTAACATAACATAATATTTTGGGACAACTTGAGACCTACTGGTCCATCTTGGCTGTTCTATCCTCAAAACTAAATTAAAACGATTTTAAAAAATAATAATAATAAAAAAATTTTAAACCCAGCCCTTTTCATTCATGTACTTATCAAACTTTTTCTTAAACTCACTTAAATTTACTGCCTCTACAACATCTACAGGCAACCCATTCCAAAGGCCAACCACCCTGTTAGAAAAATAAAACTGTCTTAGCTGAAGATGACTCCTACCTTCCCAAAATTTATATTTGTGTCCCATAGACCTACTATTCTCATTGTTAAATATAAAAAAAGATGATACATCAACACTATCAATTCCCTTTACAACCTTAAACACCTCAATCAGATCCTCCCTAACTCTTCTTTGTTCAAGAGAAAACAATTTGAAAGATTTCAGCCTCTTTCCAACAATTCAATGTCGTTTTTAAGGTAAGGAGCCCAAGACTGAACACAATATCCCAAATGTGGCCTAACCAGTGAC